GTGTGGATTCGGAATTACGAATCCACACTTTGAACACGTCGGACTTTTGTTCTCCATAACGAGCATGGATAGGACCGTCTGCGTGAAAATTTGCTTTTCGAATATTACCAATGCATCTTCACTTCACATTCTCAGCCGTCACTCCAAAATCTACTTTTAGTCCGAAAGAAATCGTCGCCTGAACTATCCATTTTGACTAAGGAGCCCATACACATAAAATTACTTGGTTGTACGGGTGTGGCGATACACATGCTAAACACGCCAGGAAAAAAATGTTGCAACCTGACGCCACTTCTGCTATTGTGTACAAGGGCTACGAAGAGTCGTTTGAAGTATTTCCTAACAAAATTGGAAACATTTTCCAGTCCCAGATTAATAAATTATCGTCATTTTTGCAACGAATGACCTTGACTGAGATGATATATGAAGGAAAAAATGGCGTCAGGTTGCAACATTCTTTCCAATACTTCTGTTGGCGCAATGGTTTAAGTCGGAGAATACACTCGCAAGTGTGGATTCTTAATTTACGAATTCACTCGGCGCTTCGTGCCTCGTGAATTCTTAAATTTCGAATCCACACTTTCTTGTGTATTCTCCTTACCTGAATCCACACTTTGTGACCAGTGTAAGAGATTCGTAGATCCGAATCCACACTTTTAACAAAGACTGAGATGATATATGAAGGAAAGAACGTCTCAGTATAGCTAAAGCATGGCATCAGACACACTGTTCTGAATATTCGTCTCAAAACACTAAACCTTTCGTAGTTACAATAGCTTTTATGCACTCACGGTGGCCCCCTTTTAATGGCTCTGGCGTTGTGTCAGCTTTATCGAATAGAGCAACTGATCGATGACCGTCAAAGGCTAGCCCAATGCGTTCGCTTCGGTGAGAGATAGCCTGCCGAGATTTGTCTATACCCAGACCCTCAAGGTATCAGTGATACCCCAGGCTAGCACATTTAGCTACAACATTTTGTTGGGCAAAAATACTGATAAACATGTATGTGAACAAGAGTAATCACCAACTGCACGTGCACGAGAGTTGATAGGAACATCCGGCAAGTAAAACGGGCAAACACACATTGTACATGACATGTTCAAGTTCAAAGGTTTGGGTATGAACAGGTACCTTAAGCTTATGCAGACTAGGGAACAAATAATTGTTACTAGAACAATACATAAAAGTGATGCATAAAGCGCTACTCACCGTCTAACGGGTGAAAGTGTGTGTTTCCCCTCCTGATCCCCCAAGCTTGACCAAACAGCACATACAAAGAATGAAATGTCCAGACTTTCGGCAGCTAAACCGACAGAGATTGATTGTAAAATTTCTCCTTTATGTCAGACATAGTACACAATTATACTACAGCACTCCCAGTAAATGCAAGTAATGTACTTGCGGGGGGGGGGGGGAGGTTCATTAACAAAAAAAATCTGACATGTAGACAGGTTTTTTTCCCGGACATTTTGTCCTCCAAAAATCAATAGGTGGGGAGGGTGGGAGGGGGTTCGTATTATATTTTAATTGGGGCGCTGTTCAAATCCGAGGATTATTAACACTATATTACAGAATAGTGTACAAATACACCCTAGCTGGCTCTGTCCGTATTTGTGGACAGGCGAAAACTATTTCAAGGATATTTTGTTTGGGTGTCAGAGCGGATGGAGGGGGGGGGGGGGGTGGTTCGCATTATTCTTTTATGAATTTCTATGAAAACAAACTAATTTTGGACAGACCTGGGGAGGGGGGGGGGGAGGTTTGAACCCCCCCCCCCCTGGATCCACGTCTGTAAACGTCTGCAGCACACAAATCCAGGGAATTAGTTACAAAAAACACTTGGTTCAAGTTGAAACCTTTGGACTCCAATCAGGTTATTGGTAGTTTATTGTTTAGTTTTCTTTCATTTTTTTTATTGGGTGAAACATATTGCAAGCAGATTTGTGTCTTCATTATATTGGGTATCATTATTGAACTCGCACACCTAAAATATATAAGGCCCACCAATGTGCATGTTCGATAGTCAAGTAGCGCCCCCTGCCGCTTATAACTTCCAAGTATGGATCGCCGATAGAGTGCGCCAGTTTGTTTCGCTCGTATCCGGTTTGCAGGGCGGGGGTATGGTACGAGCGAGGCTATTTGTGTGTGTAAAGGTGGCAGCAGATGGAGTTGCGACTTGACTTTTACACACTGCTCACAACGTGTGAACGCCTCCAAGTAAAACTGTGGTCAAGACGTCACCACGAAACGTCTTGGTCCTGGCTTCCTGCTGCTACAATCATGCGGGGAGGTCTTCAATGTGAAGACTGTGTCAAAGACTCAATATAAAAAAACACGCGACGGGTACCAGTCGTCAAAGAGGGACTGCCTCAAAGGATCATGTGATTGATATCACGAATTCATACATTGATCCATTTGGAATTCACTCAAGGTAAGTGCATGCAGTTTTAAAAACATCAGTTCAGTATCAAGACGAGGCCCTTCAGAGGCTTCAGAGCACATTTCGAACAGTATACACTCTACAGATTATATATCCAAATAAGGTTCATTTCACACCTTCTACTATAAAAATATCATGACAAGGGCAATATTTTGCATTGCTGTTCATCAGCAATTTTGTTTATTTCTGAGTAAAACATACACACGTTTACTAAAATAAAATGTATTATTTTACAACAAGATTGATATTATGAAGGTTTTGCAAATTATAAAAATTATGTTAAAACCAGACGGACATTTCTTCCCCCTGTATAAGTGTACAAGACACCTTTTGCCACTAACAATATCAAACAACACACCGATTATGTTCATGCTATGGGCGTAAACCCGGGGTTAGGGGGGGGGGAAGGATATATCCCACCATTTTTCGAGCAGGGCCATTGGATCATTTCCAGATCAAGAAACAAGAGAAAAAAAAGTTGGGTTTGAAATTATCTTGTATTGTAGCTTTCTAACAGTCCAAATGAAAATTCAATAGGTCTGAAAATCGGAGAACCAACGGTTCAAAAATTAAAAAATTAAAGTAGCATTTTGCTGTAAGATTAACTGAAGGACGTAAGCGCGAAAGTTTGCATAAGATGAACATTTGTATCATGAACAGCGCCCCCAGTGTCATGTGCTGTCAAGGCCCCTCCCCCCACCTAGCTTTTAGAATTTCTACGGCCGGGCAAGTTTAGGATTTGTTGTCATCCCCATCCCCCAAATCGCCTACTCGGATTTACGCCACTGGTTCGTACGTTGACTCCAACCCAACGTCTCATCCAACCCACCCCCTTGAAAAATGCTTGACTTCGATACGTTACTTTCCCTGTTTAGAAAATCTTGGATCCCCCACTGGTTTATGCCATTTTACATTGTGGTTCACCGTCATAAAACAACTCAGGCAAAAAAAGCTGACTCATTTGAAATGCCTAAGAACCTAACAAACATTGTGACTTTCCTTCCGACATGTATGGAATCATTCTAAAGACAAGTCTTTCACATTGTAACAGTTCAAAATGTCTGATAAAAATTCAGGCATTCCATTGAAAGCCTATACAAAAACGTATCATAAAGAAGTTGTCATGATATCCGATGAATGACTATTATTTATACAAGAGGAGATATTTTCAAACAATCATTAAATCATGTAGGACCTACTTTAGACAGCTCTGACGTTCTCGTGGGGAAATATAAGTGTAATTTTCTCCCCTTAAAAACAAAACATTCACTTAGAATCAGAACTCAATCATCTGTGTATTATGTATATCTCTCTTTAGCAATGATGTTTAAAACTGTGTACAAAGGATATCATTATGTGACTGTATGTGACTTTTCGTTATACACCACAAATCCATTAAAAGTATTTGATTAAATACTGAGTAAATACGGCCTTAAAGTAAATATGGAATGATATATAAATGAACTAGCATCACTTTTTATATAGCAACCAAATATCAAAATCATTCATCTGTGTATTATGTATATCTCTCTTCAGCAATTATGTTTAAAACTGTGTACAAAGGATATCATTATGTGACTGTATGTGAATTTTCGTTATACACCACAAATCCAGTAAAAATATTTGATTAAACACCGAGTATATACTAAATATTGAATAATGTATCAATCAACTAGCATCACTTCAGTTTTTATACCAACCAAATATTAAGCAGTTTACTTTTCCTGGTTTTACTCTTCCCAAAAAGCAATTAAATGTATCCCAGTTAGAACATAACACACTATACAATAAACATTAAAACAAACGCTATCCCAATATTTTCTTCCAAAGCTAAATTCAAGTTCTTCGGTTATAAATGTACTACAAAATGTGTACCTACAATGGGCTGCGCCAGCATTTTTTCTAGAGGGGGGCAAAACATATTTTCCCCAAAAATTCCTGTATTTCTCAAAATATTCTCGGTTTCTCAGTTTTAGAGAGGGGGGGGGGGGGCATGGGACATTTTGCCCCCCCCCCACTCATTAAATTTACACCACTATGACTTAGCGCCTCTTTTTTTTTGCTTTTCCGGGGGGGGGGGGCAAGCACCCCCTCCCCCCTTGCGACGCCCATGGTACCTACCACAACCTTTCCGAATAGTTCAATAAAGCCTCGCTTCGCTATTGTTCAGAAACTTACTTTTCTTCTTCTTGGTTAGATAAATCATTCATTACAATTACATGAACTTCAAAGAATATATACGCTTGTAAAGTGATAACCATTAATTTCAAACACTCTTCACCCATGTAAAATTAATAAAATATCAGCAAAAGTATAAACTTGTAGGCCTTTATCAAAATCAAATTTTGTCTGGAAGATCTGTGCATGTACAGATGTGCTAAAAGTGCATCATTCAGAAAACAACATTTAATAATTAAAACCGTTTAATGTTTTTTCTTCAATGACATTATATATTACATTAACGCCTGACTGTTTCTCAATCCACTTCTTTTTACCCCATTCCTTTTGGGTCCCTAGATCCAGAAATACAATCAATCAAGTGAAAGGTTGTACATTTTACTTGGGCCACTCTCAGCGAAAATCGCATTTTCATAAGCGCTGCCAGACTTGTTCATGTCATCACTCGCACTCTTAGAGGTTGTTGTTTCGCGAACCTCACATTCATTAGCGCTATCAGACTTGTCCACGTTATCACTCACACTCTCATTAGAAGTTGCTGTTTCGAAAACCTCATATTCATTAGCGCTGCCAGACTTGTTCATGTCATCACTCGCACTCTTAGAAGTTGTTGTTTCGCGAACCTCACATTCATTAGCGCTATCAGACTTGTCCACGTCATCACTCACACTCTTACAAAATGTTGTTTCGCAAACCTCATTTTCAGCGCTGTCAGACTTGATCATGTCATCACTCATACCATTAGAAGTTGTTGCTTCGTAATTTTCATTTCCAACCATTTCAGACTTGTTCATGTTATAACTCAAACTTTAGTAGATGGATCTTGCACGGAACTGCCCTCTCCTCTTGTGCTAATCGTGTACTTACCAGTACGGAAGGTGCTGCTCAGGTGTCCCTCCTTCTTTCCTCTTACCAGGTTACTCACATGTTCTCGGACCTTCTCCTGGCGAACGACAAACAGCAGAAAGATGAGCAGGCCCTGAAGTGAGTTCACCACAGCAAAGATCCACTGGAAGGCGAAACTGGAAGCCTCGAAGATGGACAGCAGACCGAAGACCCAGGTCAGGCCAAGTAGGACAGAGACTGATGCCATGTTCTGCAGGCGCTTCACGACCTTAGCTCGCTTGCTGTTACCCTCGGAGGTGTCCTTGATTTTGCTCGCACTGCAAGTCAGCTTACGGAGGACGAGCACGAAGACGACAACATTGAACAGGAGGATGATACCAATGATGAGCAGCTGGCCGTAGTAGAAAGCAGCCCCAGGCTTTAAGAAGCAACTGAAGGGTACAAATAATAACAATAATGTCAGCCCACAGTCTTCGGGCACCTAGGTAGAGACTGCACTGACTTCATGTTATGAGGACAGACAATGGCTTCCCATCCAGTGAGATTTCATCGGTATAGTATACGCTTCATAACGATTCTTACTTTTGTGCAGTCTGACTGAAAGATCCCATTAGAGTAACCCTAAAATGCCATTTTGGTGTGATGTTTCCTGATGGATGCCTTGCCAAGTCTACTATTTAGACCTTACATGGTTGTCTTTCAAATAATCGGCTACGACCACGAGAAGCAAGGAGAATTATAATCTTCTTGGCACATTGAATGTCTGCTCAATAAACTGTGTTGGGCATTTTGTTGGCGAATCGTACTTCAATTGAAACAGCAGAACCAAAAACCCCAACCACCATGATTATATCTTCAAAACAACTCGTTTGAAATTAAGATTGATGCCATTCATGTACCTGTGTTCATTATTGTACTGCTCATAATCCACTGCCAAAATCACAGTGATGACAAGTGCAGGAAATCCTGCAAGTTTAAAAGTGAAATATGAGAATAATTCAGCCGATGACTTGTACCAGCCCGCATAAGGCCTAAACCGTCATACAATAACAAGAAAGCAAATTAAGATTTTAAGAATGAAAATGAGTGATCAAATATATCCGTAATAGAGGTCTTCAAAATTGATTTTATATTCTTCTGATAGATATGCATGATCTATAGGATAAAGTTTGTAATTATCAGATGGATTGGATTTTAAAGAACACTTGAGCGTACTGATCGAGCTAGCTACCGGTGATGTGTTATGTATACATACAAGATGGCTACCCACACAGAGAGCCAAATCACATGCTTGCATCCGTGTACACGACAATAGAGGGCACTGTGCATAATTACTGGTACAGTTCAATGACCCCTATTACTTTCATTACAAAGTGTACTTGAAAATAATGTTTTTATCCTACGTATGCTCGGAGCATAGATTAATATCTTGTGTTTCCATCTCATTGGCCTCGTGGCGCAATTGGTTTCCATGGCACATTCCCCAAACAGCCAAATGTCTCACAAGTGATTTACGTTGTGCTATATACCTACCCCAGGCTACAAGGGACGCCTTGATCATGAAGTGCTCCACGTCAGCATTGAAGATCTTAACCAACTTCAGGTACAGGTTAGCAGCCTCTACGCCCATCCATGCCACGGAGGTCAGGGCAAAGTAGTGCATCAAGACAGCTGCAGCAATGCATCCAGCGCGGGAGGAGGAGGAGGTCTTCTCGACACCGGCCAAGAAGACGAGGTACAGGAGCAGCAAGGAGCAGCAGAAACTGATGAGGATATGGCTGGCTGTCTTCGATCTCAACGACCTATTGTTGGATTAATGGGGAAACATTCTGTGACTCAAAATGACTAAACTGCTCGTCAGCTGAAATCGCAAAATATACGTGAGATTGTTGTTGTATGGTCAGGCATGGGCAGGTGAGAAAGGAATACATTGTCTATACCTCAATCAGACCTTGATTGCAATCAGCATTGTTAGCACACAAAGTTGGAAGGTGCATCAATTACCTTGTGGCCGAATATATGAGGATGGTGATAACGAGTGCCACGATAGAGACACTACACCCAAGCTTGCTGATGACATCCAAGGCAAAACTGTCATACTTCTGACCGTGAATATTCTGCAAAGGAACACACGAAAGAATAACATTATGGGATAGTGAAAGTATGCATGCAAAGCTTCCATGTCACCCGAAATGTTGTGAAGTTCCCTTGAAAATCAGATTTTAAAGAGCCTCCCTTAGAGCCAACACTCTCAACTAGTTTCCACCTCTGTGTATGTCTCTACGTCCATGCACGATGCTAATCGATGCCCCTCATATCCTAGTACTAATCGATTCTCTTTGGGAATATGCAACCCTCCAGGTAAATCACACTTGAAAAGACTTTACTGTCAGTCAAAAATAAATGTGTATACTGTCTCACCACCAGGACAGCGAAGTTGGTGGCGTGGTCACACAGGCATACTGTTCGCCCGTTGACGGCAGGTCCCTTCCTGCAGCCTTCAGTCGACCAATCACCGATGCCGTCACGAAGATTGAAGTCCCAGAAGACACATTGCTCCAATCGATCTGGGTCTTCATTGGGACCTGTCAACTGTTATTGACACTGGACTATTACAATTATTTCAAGTTATGTTAATGAATCATGACGATAGATTGTGACCAGTGCCAAATGTTTCGTCTCAGCAGTGCAGCCCTAAATTAATTGCTGAACTACATGTATATTAATGTTCACACTTTCTACAGGTACTATGAGATGGAACTAAATAGCACTATACCTACAAGCTGGAAGGAGCAATTTGCACAGGTGTTTTCACATTGTTTTTCTGAAACTGAAACACCTATTTGGTACCCAAGCTGTATAGCATGTACATTTTGCTTGTAAGACGAGTTTAGACTTAGGCCTAGTACTCTGTACACATGTTTAAGCTTTTATGAATGTTGCATTTTAATGATTGTTTGGTGAAAAATGTATTAAAACAAAAATACGGGTGCAAAAAGGAACCCTTAAACATCTGAAAAAAAATTTGGTCTAGGAATACTTGTTAAGTCAAAAGTCAACAACTCTTGTCTCATCCTGTCCTGGCTTTTGCATCTGGAATTTTATCATTCTATAAATGCAGAGTCCAGAGTCTGGTATATTTTTGGTATTTTGTAATTTGCTATTCATCTTTCGTTAAAATAGTTCAAAATGATTCTTATTTGTCGAGTACAGGTAGTTTGCTATTAATATAATCACTCTTGGACTACATCAGAATTATAGAACCATGTAACAGGGACAAGAAAAGAATGTGTACCCCAAATGTATAGAGTGACCCATATATGAGCAGCTCAGAATATAATGCGATAATCAAGTCATCGGATTAAAGTCCAATTTATAAGTCTTACCTGACTTACTCGCAGGTTGAAAGCGTTGACCACGGGACTTTCTGGTGGGAGGCCATTGATGACAGTATTCAGCACACTGGCAGATACGATTCGACTGCCGATGGTACGGGGAGAGTCCGTGGACTGACTGTTGTCTATCAGTTTGGAGCGGAAGAGGTTACTGCTGTCATACATGACAAAACTAATGGGCACAGCGCTACCTGATAGCAAGTGGAAAAACAATACAGAGGAAAGCAGGGAATAATAAAATATGAGAATATATGATTTTGTCTTAAATCATATGTCAGATCTCTAGAGTAAAAGGTCAAAATTCCTCAAGTGTGACATTAATTTTTCCTTTCCCTTTTTTCCCTTGGTATTATGTAATTTGCTATTCAAGTAAAAACAAAAGTGCGTTTTACGACTACGACTTTTTTCTCCATTTGCTCGGTAAGTAGGTAGTTTGCTATATTCATAATCACCCTTGGAGGACAACTGCATGTGTGTCCATTTGCAAAACCTTTGTCAACTGCATAAATGCGTGCATCAGATTTACAAAAGCATACATGTAAGATGGAACAGGGACAGGAAAAAGTGGATCCCAAATGTATAGAATGACCCAGATGTGATTTTTCAAAACCCCATTATAATCACAATAAATAACGATTTCTAAATATCTATGGATATATTTTCCTTTTCAACAGTAACGACTGACCACTGCACACTTTGTATGTATTAAAAAAAAAAGAATTTAGAGGGGGTTTTGGACATCTCTTGATAAACTCACATTTGTGCTCACATTTTTGCTCAGAGTTACAATCAAGAAAAGTGCTGTATCAAAGGTCAGTATAGCAGAAACTTTAGAAGATAAATCAACACCTCTGATTCGTACAGCCATCATTTCAATAACACTGCGTTTTAAATCTTCAAGTCAGATAATTCTTGCAGAAAACAGGTTGACAATCCGCCAGTGTTAAATATGTAAGTACCTGGAGGATGATTCTTTAGTATCTCTGCAGGGAGTTCTATGGATGCTTCAACCTCCTCCAAGGGGATCTCATCATCGGAACCTTGGTAAACACCGATGTCGTCATCGGCCAGGGAATCGCTGTCGTTTCCCCCAGAAATAGCCCTAAACCCGACCCCGTTGCTGAGTAACTCGGGGTCGAAATTCATCGCCACGACAGCGACGCTGGTCCTGATCTCGCTGACGTTCTTTCCTGCCGCGAGGACGTTGGAGATCTGCTTCTCCAAGGCTTGGACAACGCGCGAGGAGGAGTTGGCCACCCTTGACGTGTCGTTTAATTTCTTGGCATCAACTTGGAGGAGGTTGTTGACCACCTTGACAACACTCGCTGTCACCTGTGTAACAGTACACAGATTTAAAGTACAACTTTGCAAGCTCTGGCAACTCGAGCTTCTACAACTCACTTTGGTGTCGGTCGGTCGGTCACCCAAAAAATTGACCAAAAATGAAACCCCGAAAATTGTCCCATAAAACTGTAAGTGCCAAATTGTAATTGTCAACAAAAAAAAATCAAACAACGTACATGAAAAACTTGACAATAATTGTTTTTAACAATTTGTGAAGTTGATTATAAAAGCTGTGTACATGTACTTGGAGGCAAGATAATGTGTGGTAATGTTATAGTCACGTGGTGTTTTTGTGCGCTACGAACTTAGGAAGTGAGGGGGCTGCTACAGTCCTGTCACTATACTTCACGCCTGTCTCTGGCCCTGTGTCAGTTTAATGAGTCTCCAGGGTGTAGGAGTGAGGACAAAGTTGCATTATGTAGGTCACTATTATTTTGCATTGTGACTTTCAACAAATGGGAAACTCTTATTTCAACTGCCAATCACGACCATGCAAGACGGCCAGAGCTTAATGTGCAGTTGCACTTGTTTTTGCGAAAGCTCGCTCGTCAACCTGACAAACAAGCTTTACAGTTTTACCAAATGATATATACTTCGTGACTAAGAGTGAAGTACAATATAAAGATATCCTATCGTGCATTTTTGTTTCTTCGCAACTACCTTGTACAATGTACATGCAAACAACGTATTACCTTCAATGAATTAAACAATTTTATCGTTTTATATAAATATCACGGAGTCTCTTGTGTAGCTTACCTCTGGCGACGTGTCTTGAATGTTCACAATGCTATCCAGAATGTCAGCGGCAGAGGCTACCGAATTGTCATCAACTGAAGACGTGTCATTGGTCAACGTGGCGAGAGATTCAGCTGTTTGCTCCACATTATCCTGAGTCACCATGCTATTTATCTAAAGTAAGTAAAATGTGAAAAAGAAAACGAAGAGATTATTAATTTGAGTTTGGGTTTAGGTTGAGATTGTTGTGCAAAGAGAGTCAGTGATCGGATCGGTCAAAGGTAACAGTTATTTGGTTCATACACTTTAATAAACCCATTTAGTAGACCTTACTGTATCAGTATAATGACAACAAAGGACGATGGGAAAAACCTTTTTTTTTATATAAATCGTCGCAGAGCTGACATACCGGCGAATCGACCATTTTGGCGATTTCGAGATTTTGTTATTTTTAGGGTTTATGAAGGTTGCTCTTTCAAGTATTTATGCCGAAATTCTGAATTTTTGTCTGGATTTTGAGATTCAGAGCCCCCCTTGTGGCAAATCACTCACAAAAACAAATCCATAATTTGACATAGTGACGAATACGGAATTTCGCTGGTAACCAGCTTATGTAAGGTGTGCGCTCAAAGTACCATCGAATGTTATTCGCCAGTTTGTCGGATTGGCGCGCGCGTGCGCGCGCGATCCGACAAACTGACGAGGAGCTACAAGCACTTCGCTGGTAACCAGCTAATGTAAGGTGTGCGTTCAAAGTACCAACAAAGGTTATTCGTCAGTTTGTTGGATTGCGCGCGCGTGCACGCGCGATCTGAGAAGCCGACGAATAGCATACAAACAGTGTGAAGAACAACCGACTATTGGAGATTAATGTAATTTGACAAACTGACGAATACGTTAACGATCAAATAAAATCATATCGTACAACTTCTCTGTTTAAATAAGTGACCTGATAGATACTTAGTTTCCTATTTTATTCCGAAAACACACTAAAAGGCTTTTTATCAAAACATTTAGGGTAAAATACGGCGCCCAGAAAAACATCCAACTTCAAACGCGAATTACTCGAAACAAGGTTTTCGCTTATTCGTCGGTTTGTCAGCTCTGCGACGAAATATTGCTCTCTCTTCGCAAAAAGAGACCATGCAAAAGGAGCACTACTTCTTTAACAACAATAACTTCATTAAAATTTCACTCACTTTGATTGTCTTGGATGATGCAAGTCTTGCATGATTTGTGACAGTCAACGTGAGGAAGTAGTCGAAGTTGCCTTCAGTGTTGGATGCGTCTATGTTGATCCCATAGTCAGCATCATAACAGTCGCCGATAGGGATACACAAGCACCTGTCGGACTCACAGTCCTCAAAATCCTGAGTGGGAGGGGAGAAATCAATTGGAATTTATTATGATTATAACTTCTTTTTTATTCCAGATGGATCTCGATGAAGTATAAATTTTAGAAAAATTGTTTATACATTGTAAACCAAGAGCATTTCGCAAGACACACCCAGTAGGGTATTTTATATTAGAACTCTCTTAGGACCTACTGTAATGCAAAGTATACTTTTCGAAGACATACATGTAACTTTGCGAAATCTTAAGACGTTTTGGAACTGGAAAGAAAATGAAACTCCATTGAGAATGTGAGGAATGGGGGGGGGGGGGCAGATTGTGAAAACATTTACATATATCACCTTTTTTAAATACAAAAATGACACAATTAGCTTCGAGGCAAGGTCAATCGGGTGAAGGTCTTCGTAAACCCAGCATTTGAAACGTTTATTTATTAATTTATTTTTTTCAATTTCATATTGCTAGCTCACTCAGTTTGGTAAAATATCTCAGTTACCTTACCGCATTGACTTTCTTGGCTTGCACTGTCTGGTTGCCATGTTCTATCTCTGTGCCGGTGTGGTTGTCAAAGAGAAGCCACTCGATGGTCCTTACTCCGCTGTGAATGTCGTAAGTCCTCCATTCCACACTGATGATGAAAATATAATTGGACGCTTTCTAATTACTTTATATGAAGAACACTGTCGGCCAAAACCATAGCCAAACTTGTATCTAACATCGAAACCAGACCAGAGAGCAAAGCCCAAACACACTTGAAACGAAACAAAGTCAAATTAAATCCAGTGCGGCTTTCACATACCTTATGCCCGCCAACTTTGGCACTGACAACAAATCTTCAATGACTGGCGGAGATGAATCAGCGTGAACCAACACACTGTCCCTCACAAAGTGACCAGCTAGGTCCCTGGCCTCCACCCAGAACCGAATGGAATCGCCGTCCACTAAGGTCAGGTTATAGCTCGCCTGTGTGTTTGTGCCTTCACTACTCCAGTTGCCAGAGTTGTCATCACTCATGTTGACGGCGTTCCTTCCACCACTGTGGTCGATGTCGTATAAGACGCGGAATTCGGTCACACCGAGGGCGTTAGGGACGGCTGCACGGCCCCGCTTCCCAAAGTGCTGATCATAATCTACGAGAAAAATTGTATGTGTAATAAAACCAATATAATAGCTTCGGCTTGCGGTAACACCATGTGGTTGTGTCTACTTTCGCTTAGTAGATTTAGTTCCGATAAGAACTGTCCTGCTAGTTTAAAAAGAACGTGTCATCTTATTATCTACTTTCGCTAAGGCAAAACAATAAAGTGAGATAAGTTTTGTCTCAACGTTTCGACTAGCATGCTCTAGTTTCGACTAGCCTGCTCTAATCAAAGTCAAATATGTGCGTCTATTTGCAAAAGCTGTGTCAAGTGTGGTAGAATTTGTATTTATGAGTTATAAGCGTTTATAAAGAATAACTGAAATGCGAATTGTACAGAACCGTATTTTCGAAAATTACTATACGTAAACCGTGCGTTTTAGCCCTCAAAAGATTTTCAATAGCGGATGAGACTTTTGACTGTCCTGACTTCTTCCTTCGCGGAACATTATCTCTTTTAAAAACCATCGTCATTACAAGACAGCAACTAACTTGTACACTATAAAGTATATGAATTTTAATACGTACCTAGCCAAACGGAATTTTGTTTACCAATACAACAATCAAAACCCAGTGAACTTTATGTACTAAACTCACCAGAATCAATGGTACCAGTAACATAGGACCAAATGGGCTTCAACCATCCTTGGCTGTGATGACGTTCATTGATGAAATGCCCTGTCCAATCAAGCTGCACGAATGTCGCCCCTTCGCTGGGGTCTAGATTGGTCAACCAAACGAAGTCGGTTTCTTCAGTCGCCGAGACCACGCACAGGGAGAAATTACTCTGAATGGTGATGTCGTCTGGATCGTCGTCAAAGAACACAAAGCGTCTGCTATGTTTGACATTGCCGGCATTGTCGACAGCACTGAGGATGACAGAATAAACGCCTGTAAGGAAGGAGAAAAAAAGAGCATATAGATCTTTAAATAATGTTTCATTCCACTGTATGATTCTGATTTAAAGATTATAAATATAAGAAGCCTTAATAAAAAATGTATTTACACATTTTTTTTTACATAACTCTCTTAATACGACTGATGGCAAAAAAAATCTACGATGTATTTTTTTTTTAAATCAGTATCTGAAATTACCCAAGTAATCTAAATCACACACTCACAACGTGCGATTTTAACATTATATCTGCGAATGGGTAACTAATAATAGCCTTAACACGTTCAGATAAAGAAAGGCACATTCAACCAATTCTTTTATATTGTTCATTTTGAATATACATTCGCCAAACCTAACCTACCAGGATAAGGCAAAGTGACATTTTGACCGGATCGTGCTACTCCGGAATAAGCGGCGGGACTGTCAAAAATTTCTGTCAGCTGGTTACCATGGCTACCTGACAGCTGTCGCACTTGAAGTTCGTATTCTTTTATGCCAGCGAGATCGTCTGTCCAGCCTTGCCAAGATACATTAATTGTTTCCTATCATGGAAATTAAGGTTAAAAGATTTAGATAAAAAAAAACAAAAACTAGGTGTCAGTTATTGAGTAAACTCAAGCAGGACATATATGTCCTGCTTGAGTTTACTGAAGCATGCTGAATACAAGGAATGCTGAATACAAGGAATGCCATAGCATTCCTTGTATTCAGCATGCTGAGAATAAAGTTGACCATTGGGAATAAATTACATTGTGGACTTCTCTATAGTATTACAAAGTTAACATAACTTAACATGGTTAATTTGGCTGCAACCGTGCATCAAATGTAAACCGATTGGCACACCAAGGCCAATGATGAGCACTCTGGCTCCAAACTATGACACACCAAGCCCAACCCTTGGCACACCAGGCCCCAACCATGAGCACACAAGGCCAAACCATGATCACACCCGATCACGACTACGGCACAACGAAGTCCAACCAAGGGCAGGCGCCATGCAACCATTGGCACACAAAGGAGAATGCTCAATCTATCATTAAGGGACAAAGTCAGACATACCTTCATGAGACAAAAAACAAAGGTCAAAGATATCATAGAGAAGATCAAGGAAATAAAATGGAGATGGGCAGGGCACTTGGCAAGAAGACAAGACAACAGATGGACCAAGATACTCACCGAATGGCAACCAAGGACAGGCAGAAGAAGAAGAGGTAGACAAAGGAGATGGAAAGATGAAATCACCACATACATGAACACAGTAACATGGAGTAGAATGACAAGTGACAGAAGAGAATGGAAACTGCTTGAGGAGGGCTTCATCCAACAAAGGATGTCCACAGCCTGATTATGATGATGATGACAATATTTGAACCTGAACTGAGATATAACGACTTAAAGGCTATCGATATAGCTCCCAGAACTGCTACATGACATACACAGAAAGTCACTTCATGACAGATTATGAAAGTCACCTCAAGCATAGAGCAAGGAACTTGCTCTATGCTTCAAGCATGTGGACAGAACCACGACTTCGAGAGGAGTCATGTATTATTCACTGAGTATATAAGACTTTTTAATCACTTGGTGATAATAGGCCTACAGTAAGTCATCCTATCCAATAAACAAAATGCTGGGATAAAAATATTCCCAGTCAACTTGGTGTTCTACATCCCTCACCGACCAAGAAACAGGGAAATTTAACCTGTGAGGTAACATCATTCTGTGTATCCAGCATAGTCCTCCGGCATCCTCTGCTAACATCCACGCAGTGGTAAGGGTCATCAAAGTCAAAGGTGAAAGTTGAGAAGGTGGAGGATGTCCTTCCGCTGTAGTAGCGCGTGATAATACTGTTTGAATTGTCTCTGTCATAGAGTTTCAAGCAGCCACCACTTGTTGAACGTACATAATACCTCAGTCTGTAAAAGAAATATAATGTGAATTCAGAAAGACAATTCATTGCAATTAATTTATTTCGTTGAGACAGGATTTAAGTGACAAAAACTGTTCCAAGGCAACCCCTTGCTCGATACAATGTCCCAAAACCATTTTGTTCGGTTAAACGAAGCTACTAGTGATTTCATTATATTATAAATAAAAATATCAGAGTATTAGCCAGGAATTGAAATTATTGACAAAAGTAGGTTTAGACCTACACATCTCCTGTAGCTGGTGTCCACGTGTTGTAATTCAAGTTGAATGTGATTGCACAGGATACCAGGTCTGTAGCAGGATTGTTTCGATTGAAAGAATTTCCCGTTGTCGATGTCGTACAATCCCGCGAGCCTATCGAATATATATCACTCTGACCCCCTTAGTGCATGGGAAAAATAAAATCGATTTTGAAAAGTTCAATTAGGATGAAAAGGCTGTTGATTGTTGGATGGTATTTTCATTAATGTGGTATATATTGTTGTGTACATAAAACACAATGACACACAGTCCTTTTTTGAGTTTATACACATTATAGACATATATTTTGCCAGTTATTTTTGTACTTCAAATCAAATCAAATCAATTCGACATATATTTTCACATTGACATCCTCGGTAACAATTCAGACAGAAAACAGTATATATATATATGTATAAACAAAACATTCTTCACAGACAGTATGTAATGAAGTGTAAATATTAAATGATGTCAACATAAAGGAAAACAAGGTGAAGCACTGCTTTTTTCCCTTTCCCTGAGCAGGACAAACTTAAACAACTACTCACGGACAGAGACAGGACAATAGGTTTAAGAGTGAGACCCGGTACATTATGTAAAATAATGACTAAGCAAAGCAGAGACTACATCCCCAGCCCTCAAATTGCTTTCAAGTTGGCTCTTGTCCTGTGTACCCACAGGGATAAACACATACACGGCTATCAAAACCCTACTTATTTCATCTGGTATAACATTTAAAAGGACGTGCATTCTTAACTTACGATTCACAACGGCCGTGGCTCGTGCCTCCACAACACCAAGCCTAATGCTTTGGATGTAGGGATGTCCACCACCACTAGGGTCTGGTAGACCAATAGGCTGGTACGAACTTATCCAGTTGATCCTCAAGCTCATAAAGTTTGGTACGTTGGTGTAGACAGTGTCTGTACTGCCCTGGACGGTAGGGGATTCTAGAGTTGTTATCCCCGTGATCAGGGTGGCACGGTGCTCGGAAAGCACTGGTGTTTGACTGCTACCCACTAGGAAAAGGAAAATCGCAAATCAATCACAATGCCAATATGGGTATTTTTGTTTTTATACTTAAAACGAGACGACAATGTAAATGATAGCAAAGGTAATCTCTATGTCCAGGATTCAGTTCCCACAGCCAAGTCGAATGTGTGCTGTGTTTTCTTTCAGGATCTACCTGTATTCCCAGGTTTTCAGATCTCTCTGATCTGGGTTTCTGTGCTATCCCTATAGTTATAATCGTTTCTAAAACTAAGGATTCCTGGTCATATTGTGGTACAGTTGTGACATTTCTTTTCAAAAACGATTTACAGCCGCAGTACCTTGATCACCTTCATTGTGAGATTGTCCTTTCTGTGCATTAAATGCCAATGTAAATCTTAAGTGCTGCCACTGAGGATGCCAATGTGAAAAAAATGATATAAGAGCTGAATTATGAAATGTAAGCGAAATATCTGGATCGATTTTAGGTCAGAGAGAAGTCAGTCTTTGTCTGCATGCTTTTATACGATTTAAAGCAATAGTTACCGCAACGGTGTAGGGTCGTCAACTTGAGTGGGCATAGCAAGGTTTTACAAGCCTTTTAGGCATAAATGATATAATGCAGGCACATAAATGCATCCTTGCAGAAAAGAAATTGAACAGAGTTCATAACATAATATTCTATAAATTTTTGGGTCCACCCTGTTCCTGTTACATCGGACATCTATGATTTTTATAATTTAGATGCATTCCTTAATGCAGTCGTTCTCCAAGAAGGATTATGAATAGCAAACTACCGACCCAACAAAAAAGAAGTGTTTAAAGTACAAAGGTAACAGGGACAGGAAATATGTCACACTTTGGATCCGGAATTTATAGAATAACAAATATATGAATAATAACAGTTGTTTAAGAAGCTATATTTATATTTACATATTGATATATACATTGAAATAACCTGAAATTAACTTATGAATAATTTGTTATTGATAATTGATAATTAAAAAGCAGTTTAAAAATAACGCTACAGACTCACTTGTTCTGCAGTCAGTGCCTACGAATCCACTGCTGCATGTGCACTGGGCATTTGTGCAAGATCCTGGGTAGCATGCCTTGCTGTTACTCCTCCATGAACATTGCTCTGGCAAAGTAAGAAAGGCACAAATGTATGTTTACTGCGAGCTATAATGTCTTTAACTGAAAATAACTTCAAAACGAAAATGAGAATGAGGTTGAGGATGAAAGTGAGGTTAAAGATGAGAATGAGGTTGAGGATGAGAGTGAGGTTAAAGATGAGAACGAGGTTGAGGATGAAAATGAGGTTAGGATGAGAGTGAGGTTTAAGATGATTTTTGTTATCATTATTATTATAAATGGTTCATTTAAAGACTTTTGCAGCAATAGGTTGAATTACAGTCAGTTTACAATAACAATCTGAAAAAAAAATACTTTAGCATAAAAATACATTTGCATAAAATTCATAAAAACTGTCAGACATAAAAATATAAAGTAATAGTAAAAGAAATACAGTTTACATGTACATTGTTAAAGATATAAAGGTGGGACAATACAATTACCACAAGAGTTTAGGAGAATCTACAAGACCTGAAAGGGAATATACATCATTTGCTTTTGCACTAATTTTTAGAAATGGATGGATTTGGGGGGTTGGTAATATATAGCAAATATTGTTACACTAACTTTTTTGAAATTTTGGGTTTGTAGAAGCTATAAAAACCAAGAAAAAAAATATCGTTTTCCTGAAGTCTGGTTCCCTGACTCCATTTAATATTAAACGGAGCAGTTTATATACATTGAAGAATTGTGAGGTCAGGGAACCAGTCTAGCTTGCTTGTACCTGTTCATAGGTGTGTAATCGATTGCAAACAAATGCGATGGTCAATTTGGGCCAGTATTTGAAAAAAACCCAGTTTTTTCCAATGCTGGTCGGCCAACCAGCGTTGGAAATTGATACAAAAATACCACTTTTCTTGAAAATGACAGTATACCAGGTGCTGCGAATTCACAGGATGCTTTAGACTGTCATTCACTAACAGTCCAGGAAGATATTTCAAAATAATTTGGTAGTTTCATTTTTTGATGGTTGCAAATGTTGTTTTTTCCCTTTAACCATGAGCTGTGTACAAAAAACTAAGGTTAATAAGGTTGATAATGAGAACTCAACTTACTATTGCATTGTCTCATGTCATCACTCTTCTTGTACGCTGATCCCAGCGCTGAGCCATATTCACCATCACATCGATCACATCTCTGGTCTGAGGAGTTGCTACAGAATACGTCAATGCAGTTCACGATGCCTGTACACCCTACGAAAAGCAAAATATGTTTTTATTGAGTCACCACCAACGACTTAGTTGGAGGCATGGACTTACGTTAAGGTGCCTTGACGATATATGTTTAACTTCTGTTTCAAATTTTTCGCCAGAGGAACTCACCTGACATACCAAAACACTTGACAGATTAAGTGAAACTGTCTTCCACATTAATATGAATAGGTAGTCCAAATTTTGAATCACTTCAATTGTTCGGTCTCATTACTTAGTTGACTACGTCCTTTACGTCCTTTTAAGTCAAAGTCCTGTCATGAAAAAAGTACATTCAATGCCTAGCCAAACTTTTTTTCGTGATCACTCACGTTCGCATAGTGGAGAGTAGAAGCCTCGGTTACAGGTGCCGCAGTAGTTAGGACCTCTGCAAACCCCTCCGTTGGGACACGCAGTGGTACAAATGGCTACGAATGAACAATAAGAATGAAATGTATGATCTTTGCAAACAAACTCATTTCAAGACGATATATGCGAGTCGTTTAAACCAGAAAATCAAAAATGTTTTTCAAAATTTAAACATTTGTCTTGATTGGTGACCTGAATGGATTCAGAAAATATATTCTTTTGTTGGTATCAATTAATTAACGAAATTAACTTACGGTTTGAGCAACCAGTTGATGTACTTCCGGTCCATCCTGGGCAACACCGGTAGCAGGCTGTAGTCCTGTAAAAATGCATAAAATGCTTGTATCTGGAGCGAAGTACTTTACGAGGCATCACGAGGCATCACGGGGCCCATTATGTTTTATGCAGTCCTTTTAATTAATGCACCTTTATGTCCCATTTATCTTCACATTTTCAAACTTCATATTCTAACTTTCATGGGTGTTTTTGATGCCTTTTAAATTTTTATTTCAATGCAAATTTCATATTCATGAGCAAAACTGTGATTTTAGACAGAAACTTCAGTGTTACAGCTGCTCCAACATTAAACTCTTCTAGAAAGTTGGGGGATTTGTCAAGGTAATTAAAAAAAAAATGTTTTTAGCTTTGGTGATTGTTAACATTGTTGCATCAGTGCATGAAATTAAGTCCATGAGCAACGTTTATTCAAAAAAAATGTCACCAGAAATTTGGGTTCACAGTTTGAATAGAAAATCCCTAAACTCCACAGTGTGTTCACAAAGAGATATCACAGCAACAGCGTCTTCAGTTGTCAGAAAAGGCATGAATATTATTAATTCATGTCTTTATTGGATATTCGAGGCATGCGATAAAGACCTAGGACAAAAATAAACATAAAATGTGGATAGACATACAATGTGAATAGGCATTAGTGCAAGGCAACAGTAACATTTAAACAACAAACATAGTGGACTTTGCAAAAAGTAACCCAAAAAAAAGAAGAAGAAGAGATGCCACATGGTTTCCAAACATTTCGGAGGAATGGATATTTGTACAAAACAATTTCCATCGTAAAGTTCTCGTCCTTTTAAGAGAAAAGACGTTTGAAAAGCATTGCCTTTAAAATCGTTATTTGTAATTCTAACCCATCAATTATTCCATGGAGAAATTTCTCCATGATTATTCAAAGATTGTTTTCAGAAAGTGGGGAACGCAGTGTGGACCTTCAAGTTAGCCTTGGTCAATGCTCTCGTCGTTATTCGTCCCGTATGCGGTCAATCGTCGGCATATATCCTCACGCGCTATGCACATGCATGTAAAAATACAGCGCGAACAGCGACCTCATGCGGCCACTATTTTTTATGCAAATCAGTTGGGGACGATCGAGAGCCTTGGTTCAATCGTCGGCAAAAGCTTATGTTTTTCTTTACTTTGCGCTAGATTTCCAGCGCACGACCTCGTATGCAAATACAGATAATGTAGGCGGAGCTAATATGTGGAGTGTCCAATCACACCTTGGTAAATCCGGACGTCATCAAATTATTTGCAGCTATTCCGCCTTTTGCGGACGTGACAGGAACCACAGATTTGTGCATTGGTGCCGTGTGCAGAGACACACAATGTGTACGTGTATGGATTATGTACGGTGCCACGTTTCACTATGCAAGTTTCCACGCAACGATCGACCAATAAGAAAACGACATTTAAGGTCAGCTAAGGCTATTAACATAATGAGCACCACCCCCAAAACCTCACATGGACGATTGAACCAACTGATTTGCATAAAAATAGTGGCCGCGTGAGGTCGCTGTTCGCGCTGTATTTTTAATGCACTGCATGCATAGACATAATTATGACTGCATGCATAGCGCTAGCGAAGATATCGTTTACCGCGCTACGGCCGGATGAATAACAACTAGCGCCTTGACCAAGGCTATGTGGACCTTTGCGAGTCCACATACACGACATAAGGCCACCGTAGGACTCCGGTTTCTGGTATGGAGCTTGCCCCAAAAGTGGTGCGGCGACGCGGGTTTTTTCCCCCAACTTTTTTTCTCTTCAAATGTCGGCTGATGTTGCAACTGACGCTTCGATCCCCTTAAAACTCTCAAAAATACCCTTCAGTGTGGTTCTTGAGGTGACCTCAGTAAGGCTATAAGGCTGGAGAATTCTGCACAAACTTACGATCTCGACCGACACGAACATTCTTCGGGAAATTCGGATAGTCAAGACAAAAATCACAGAAAACGGTAACGTCGGACCATACACTACTCGACATCGTGCTGTTCGTGCATGAGCTGCAAGGCTGGTCATTAGTCTGCTCCCTTATATATTGCACTAATTAAAAAACGTCTACAGGTTCCAGATACACGACCATCGCTCCCTCAGTCTGGCTTCCAGACGCACAATAAAATAACAACACCGTCTGCAAATGGTACCCGACAAATGGGAGCCCAGAGAGGTCACATAAAGCTTATACTCGATCGAAACCCCACGTTAAAATGTTCAGCAGCAGGATTCCAGTCAAACCAGTGAGTTTGGCGGTTTTGAGACATCATCTTACATTGAAAAAAAAAACTTTTTAATTTTGCCGACGCGCACGGCTACGGCGACGCGCGCGCATACCAGAAACCGGAGACTTTTTTTGGCCCTAAAATCTAAAGTTCCCTTTGTTCACATTTCCACACGGCGACTGCATAGCGACAAAATACAGCTGAAAATGAATCGATGAATATTGTATCTTTCTTACACTATACACTGCAGTTTAAAAAAGGACTTAGGCCTTGCCTATCGGTCTACCTCCAAACATGTGGGAAGTGTAGATGATACAAACCTGTACTTGCTACACTGGGCCCAACCAAAGAGAAAGCAGCGTTCGAAGTAACGTTCCGTGCATGTATACGAACACACTACGGCCCTGGTTGAAAAAAAAACCCATATAAAAAAAAACAATGAGCTAATTTCTTCTAGTTTAATGTGACTCATTTCACTGTGATACGTGGGTTGTTAGGCTTCATTGGAAATGACTGCTAATACGTGTACATGTATACCGACTTATAGTGTTAATAAAAGGTTTTGTGTAGTGTCGATATCAGGGGTTAATTCGGGGCAAAGACCATTGTAGACTTTGACATATTGACTTTGACAGAACCCTTTTGGCACGCAATGAGTGCTTGCTAGATCCTTTTGTCATAATCGTGATTATTTCTCACCAGGACCCAAAAAAAAATCTTCATTATAGTTTTATCCAACTTGACAATATTAAGTTTTAAGATCGAAGGTTATGTATTATATTTGCTACATAAAAATCGATTGGTATAGTTCAACTGAAACCCCAGATCAGAATAATTTTGTGAATTGAACTCACCTCAGGGTAACATC